GGCAAACAAATCATAAGAAAAAACCTTGAATTCTACATACTATTTTCTCCTAGCACTGGAGTTTTACAGTTCTGTGTGGTTCGTAAACTTGCTATTCACCTGTTCTTCCAATTGGTCTTCTGGGAGAGAGGCCTGCTGCACTGACTCTCAGGTGTCTTTGCCTGGGCAGAGTTGCATGGCCCCTGGGGGCTTGGCTCAGTATAAGCTGTTTTTGGTTGCTCTGTGTGGCTTTTGTTCCTTGAAGACTTTCCACACCTCTTTAGAGGATCAAAATAAAAATTGCTGCCCCATATCTCCAGCCCCAGGGCCAAAAGATCACAGTCCCCTCTCTTCAGTAAACCCTCAGGGATAAGCAGTCTTCACGGTGTGCACCTACAATGATCCTCCTAGGGGCAGTCAGAAGGTTGCTACATTTCTGCACTTTGCAGGGCCCTGGCATAGAGAACGGTCACCTGTTCATATACGCATCCAGTCCACCCTTCCTGGGGGAAAGCGGAGGGTTGCTCATTAGTGTTCTTTACAAGGCCGTCACCACCACCACCCCCGCTGTACTGAGGGCTGTTGCCCTGTCGTGCTCACACAGGCTCAGCCCCTCCTAGAGGAGGCTCCCTCCCCTGGTGATCGTCTGATATCAGCCTTAAGATTCACTTTGCACCTCCTACCTTGCAAAAAGTGGTTGCTTTTCTACTTGTAGAGTTCCAGAAATTCTTTTCTTACACCTCAGGTTGAATTCATGGGTGTTCAGAATAATTTGATAGTTAATCTAGCTAAATTCAAGGGACCAGATGAAACAAGATCTTCTACTCTTCCACCATCTTGCCTCTCCCATTTCATAGAGTATTTTTAAGATAATCAAACATATTATTGATTTGTGGTTGCCTTTACATGTCTAACTTGTGTACTTAAAAATTATACACACCACTTAACACAGAGACTATATTCTTTCCTTTCCTTCATGCCAAAGACAGAAAAAGGAAATAATTACTATATATAATGATATTCCTTTTTTTAAAAGGTTAAGATAAAAACAACAATACAGTTTTTTTTTTAAGATTTTATTTATTTGACAGCGATAGAGAGGGCACAAGCACAAGCAGGGGGAACAGCAGAGGGAAAGAGAGAAGCAAGGAGCCTGAGATGGGATTCGATCCCAGGACCCCGAGATCATGACCCAAACCAAAGGCAGACACTTAACTGACTGAGCCACCCAGGTGCCCCCACAGTATAACTTTTTAAAAATAATCACATCTTCCTACTTTTACTTATTACATAGAGACAATACTATAGAACTTTAAGAGACCTTAGAAAAATCATATAAATAGGTATATTATATTATAGATGGAAAGCTTAAAGAGAGCTAGAAAAATATAATATTTCATCTTGACACAATAAATGGCTCATATATCTGTGGACATAGTTACATAGATCCCCAGAGGACATTCATTTTAAAATAAAATTGCTTAATACTAGGAAGAAGCAGAGATTTTTCAGTCAATGCATTACTTTCCAATAATTTCTTTCCTTTCCAGTAATTTCTAAGTAAGAATTCTTTCACGGAATGTTAGAGCTGAAAGCATCCTTAGAAACCATCTGCCAGTAGTTTTCAACATAGAGTATACCTTAACCCTTGCTCGGAAATGCAGGGCTGCTTTTGGATGTGATGGTGACTGGGAAATGTTACTGGCATTAGGGAAGCTAAACACCCTGTAATGCACTAGAGAGTCCTTCTTAATAAAGAATTATCCAGTCCAAATGCCAGTAGTATACCTACTGAGAAACACTGATTTAATGTTCCACTTTGAAGATGTAGCCTTTTAGGCCCATAGATGTTAAGTGACTTACTCAAGGCTACACAGCTGGATCTAGAACCCAGGTTCTCATTCTCTTGTTCTACTTCTCTTACAATGAATAAAATGTCAACAGGAAAACACAGAAAACCAAGAATCAATTATATATTAATACATAAAACACTACCAAAACATTGGTCATACATTAATATCTGAAATTGAAGTAAAACTGCAATTAACTAAAGTATTAATATCATTTTCTAATGTTTTTCCCATCCTAAGAAATAATTTCCTTTCAGATAAATCATTTTTCAAAAATCCATCACAGTTAAAAGAAGAGGAATAAGTCAATCAGAGAAAGACAACTATCATATGATCTCCCTGATATGAGGGAGAGGAGATGCAACATGGGGGGTTAATGTGGTAGGAGAAGAGTAAATGAAACAAGTTGGGATTGGGAGGGAGACAAACCATAAGTGACTCTTAATCTCACAAAACAAACTGAGGGTTGCTGGGCAGAGGGGGGTTGGGAGGTGGGGGTTATGGACATTGGGTAGGGTATGTGCTATGGTGAGTGCTGTGAAGTTTGTAAACGTGGAGATTCACAGACCTGTACCCCTGGGGGGGGGGAAAAATATATATATATATATATATATATATGTTTATAAAAAATAAAATTATAAAAAAAAAAGAAGAGGAAATCAACAGACTTACGCTTACCAAATAAAACATTTTTTGAATCGGAAAATACATGGCTTCCGATTGTTTCAGAACAACTTAACACCCTATAGTCAACCACTAATCTTCTAACCATGAAGAAATTTATCACAACAAAAAGAACGCTGTACTAAAAACCCAAAGGACTCGACACTAATCGTCACTCTGATATACATGTAACTAGATGCCACATCTTGAACATGTCACAAACCTCTAGATCTATTCCATGTTACATAAAATGAGTTTAGGTAGTGTAATCCTTTCTAGATCTAAGATTCTTTTTTTTTTTAATTTTTTATTTCTTTTCAGCGTAACAGTATTCCTTGTTTTTGCACCACACCCAGTGCTCCATGCAATCCGTGCCCTCTCTAATAACCACCACCTGGTTCCCCCAACCTCCCACCTCACCCCCCCGCCCCTTCAAAACCCTCAGGTTGTTTTTCAGAGTCCATAGTCTCTCATGGTTCACCTCCCCTTCCAATTTCCCTCAACTCCCTTCGATCTAAGATTCTTATTCCATATTTCTTCCTTATTGCATAAGAAATAGGGTCTTAAAAAAATATATAGTGCTATCAACTAAATACTCAAAAAAGCACCCTACAGTAAGCAGGGATACAACTAAAGACTGAGTCTCAAAAGGTGATCACTGACAGGTTAAGTTCTACTATTAATATAATTATTGTTCAGCAGCACTTTACCTCCTGCTGCTGTGATCATCTACAGAATCATTATCATTCCTTTTTCCCTATGTTATCCTAAAAATGAAGGCTAAGTAAACAATCTTCAGAATAATTCAAAATTAAAACTTTATTATTAAAAAGACATTTGCTTTAGTGCGTCTAGAAGGCTCAGTTGGTTAAGCTCTTGATTTAACCAACTCTTGATTTCAGCTCAGGTCATGATCTCAGGGTCATGAGATCAAGCCCTTTATTGGACTCCACGCTACGCATGGAGCCTCCTTAAGATTCTCTCTCTCCCTTTCCCCCTGCCCCTCCCACACCCACATTCTCTCAAGCTCTCTAACATCAACAACAAAAAAGACATTAGTATTAAACATTTAACTTCTACATATACACAGACACGAAAACTTTTTAATTTTAAAATTACATCAGAATTGGTCAAATAGAATATACAGCAGGATTTTTTACAGGAAATGTACTAATCTGTTAATGTATGTATGTATATATCTATCTATCTATATTTCTCTTAAGTTTTATAGACTGGTCTTTGCTCTTGACAATATATATACATTCTAAGAAAACTGAATTGCATTTAACCTTTATTTTTACAAAATTTCAATTGTTCCATAAAATATTTTTGGTATCTTTTCATACATGTGTTATACTTCTTAGACAACATATATTAAATAGTAATCAAAATAAATAAAATAAGGACAGAGAGATAGTTATTTTTATTTCTCCTTCCCTTCCCTTATCTTTGTCTCTCTTATAACCACACACATGCACATGCACACAACATAATTCCTCCAACAAGCACATGCAGCACAAGTTAGATACCAAGCTGTATGGAAACTGAGTCTAAAAAAAATTCATGAATGACTTTAAAATAAAATAAGGCTATGAAATATTCAAAAATATATTTTAAAAATGTATTTCCCGGGGCACCTGGGTGGCTCAGTGGGTTAAAGCCTCTGCCTTCAGCTCAGGTCATGATTCCAGTGTCCTGGGATTGAGCCCCACATCGGGCTCTCTGCTCAGCGGGGAGCCTGCTTCCTCCTCTCTCTCTCTCTGCCTGCCTCTCTGCCTACTTGTGATCTCTGTCAAATAAATAAATAAATAAAAATCTTAAAAACAAACAAACAAACATGTATTTCCTGAAGTTCAGTTACTTAAAAACAGTTTCTCCTTATAATATTCTGAAGATTTTCCTGTTTGTGGTCCTTTTTTCCCTACTCATTCATCCTAAAGAAATTCATAATTTTTGTTGCTTCTTATGTCTCACTCTCTTGGTTACTTCAATTTTTTTTTTTTTTTTTTTTTGAGAGAGAGACAGACTGAGCACACAGGAGTGAGTGGGGAGGAGCAGAGGGCGTAGGAGAAAATCTTAAGAAGGCTCCATAACCATCATGGAGCCCGGCACAGGGCTCAATCTCAGGGCTCTGAGATCACGACCTGAAACGAAATCAAGAGTCGGATGTTTAATTGACTGAGCCAACCAGGTGGCCCATTTCAATAATTTTTTAAAATATATCATTTATATATAATTACATACAAATGGTTTTGTGTCTTGTTAAGGTTATAAATTTAATCCTTCAGTTAATTAAACATGCAATTATTATTCCATCCACAAAGCCTAGGGTTAGATAATAAAAATAAATACTCTACAGATAGTCTAAAACACAGGTGCAAAAAACAAAGATTATTATTATAACCAAAAGATTCTATTTCAGACAGGCAAGAAGTTCTGTCAAATAGGTGCTTTGTTATTTGCAATAACATCTGACAATGAATCAATATTGTTAAGATTGTACTATACCAAAACTATCAGGGGTCTCTGCTGATGATACCTTCTTTGCTTGCTTCACAATGGCAATTTCAGGTTTGGGATATCTGCATGCTAAAAATATTATAAAATTAAAAGGTACTCAAATGATAAAGTAAATAAAATATGTATAAATAAAAAATATATATGAAATTTTGAAGTAAAGGATGAATACCCAACTTTTGTAGCAACATGGACGAGACTGGAAGAGATTATGCTGAGTGAAATAAGTCAAGCAGAGAGAGTCGATTATCATATGGTACCACTTATTTGTGGAGCATAACAAATAACATGGAGGACATAGGGAGATGGAGAGGAGAAGGGAGTTGAGGGAAAATGGAAGGGGAGGTGAACCATGAGAGATTATGGACTCTGAAAAACAACCTGAGGGTCTTGAAGGGGCGGGGAGGTGGGAGGTTGGGGGAACAAGGTGGTGGGTATTAGGGAGGGCACAGATAGCATGGAGCACTGGGTGTGGTGCAAAAAACAATGAATACTGTTATGCTGAAAAGAAATTAAAAAAAAAATGACAATGCAAGATGAAACCATAAAGCTTTAATACCAATGGGGAAAATTACAATTGTTCTGTGGCCTTTAAAATTTTTTTCAGAACAATAAAAATTCTCTTGCCAGCAGTTCTGAACATAAAGGGAAATTTAGAATAGTAAAACTAATGCATGATCACTTTTCATTTCTTGCTGTACTTTCACCTTTTTTGGTCAATTCTCTTTTGATTACCCACTTTTTCAAAACATCTCATGGGTTTATCATTAAGAGACAAGAAGGCAATGCAAACCACACATTTTGTTTTCTATGTGTGAACTGAACAACAGATTAAGTAGTGACCAGTCACAGAGAGACTGAAAGAGTGATATGATTGGTCATGATCATGATGCACATCTGTTGTTACACAGTGCTTGCAGATGGCAAAGTTTGCATTTTATACAATTACTCACAGTTAACATACTAGAGTAAATAAAATTTGAACTGTGTTGTTCAAAACTGATGTTATGTAACTAAAACATAGTCACTGAAATTGGTGCATTTGGGGACTATGCAAAGCAAGGAATGCTTATAATAATAAAAACTGGATTATTTAATGAAATGGGCATAAATCCAGGGAAAAAACAGGGCATTAGAATTTCATATATATTATTTTTCTATATATACAAGCTAATGGAAAATAAAAGAGAATAAGATTCTCTTCCTTAGAAGTTAAATGTTTTCCACTTAAATCACTTAATTTACTATCATTCAACTATCTGTGAAAGAATAGCTAACTAAAGCAAAGTTCAGTGACTGAATCTTATGTTTAATAGAAGTAAAATAATTTTATCATAAATCAGCTGGCAAAGCTTTTTAAAATGTGCATTCATTGCTGAAAAAAATGTTATTAAAAACTACCAAAAAGCAAACAAAAACAACAAAAAACAAAGAAGAAAATAGCCCTAATCTCAAGGATATATAAACATATATGAGATGATTAGAGGGAAAAAAAAAAAAAACATGTAAGTTTTCAAAACGGAAAATTTGTAGCCTTAAGAAATGGGAGACAGCCCCCAGGAAGAAGTTTTGAATCTGGCCTTAAAGCACTGCAAAGATTTAAATAAGTGAGGGGAGGGAGGTTTCCCTTTTCCTTCCCATAAAATTCAGTCTAAAAGCCATAAAGTGGGAATCAATGAGGTAGGCAACTGTGTGGGAGGCAGGACAGGGTCTCAGAGAAAGAAGCTCAAGGGTGAGGGAGGAAGTGTTCACACAGCGGTCAGTCTGGGACAATCTGTCAGAACCCAAATAAGGTGAGAAAGGCTTCCCTATGATAAAAGAGAGGGGATGTGGCTCAGGGTGTCAGTGCTATAGTTAGGTTGAGAAGAGCATCTATATAGGAGTATGTTGGCAGTGGTGGTGATGGGATATTGGTGACATGTAGAAAAAGTGATATAATTAATAAGTATATTAAAGATAATGGGAGTCAGGTTTTTTTTGTCATAGAATAGAGTTAGAAATACAGGAAGAGAGAAAACTAGGATGTACGCTGTGGCACTAGGTCAGAATTGAAGAAACTGCTATGAACTCTCATTTTATAATATAGAGAAACAGAAATGATATTATATATATAAATACATATATTTATATATTCACTAGCCCTGTCCACAGTGGGGGTGGAAATAGCAACACCCCAAGAGCTATGAGCGCATCTAATGGCCAGATCTTGGTTTTGGTTTTTTTTTAAGATTTTTATTTATTTATTTGACAGATCACAAGTAGGCAGAGAGGCAGGCAGAGAGAGAGGAGGAAGCAGGCTCCCTGCTGAGCAGAGAGCCCGATGTGGGGCTCGATCCCAGGACCGTGAGATCATGACCTGAGCTAAAGGTAGAGGCTTTAACCCACTGAGCCACCCAGGCGCCCCCATCTTGGTTTCTAAATACCATTCTACACTAAAGAATACCATTCTACACTAAAGAAACCAGGGCTCCTTGTAACAATGGCTGATTCCAGGGCTAGAGCAGAAAAAGTCCAAGAGAAATCTGGAATATCTTATGGTGCCAGAAAATAAGGAAAAAGAAAATGTTCAAAGAGTAATGTGGATATGTCAAAAAGAGAAAGAAGCCAGTCTGAAGGGGTTCCCATTAGTGAAATACGGAATAATTAGCAAATCAAATATGAGAGTAATAAATTATAAACCATTAAATAGAAAAAGAATCCATGACTATATCAATTAATTAACTAATAAATTAATAGTTGAATTGATGAGGAATGGAATATTTCATAGACTCAAAGTAACTTCACAAAATATTTATTAATTACCAAAAGGAAAATAATAAATTTATAGTAGATAAGTCAGACAGATACCACTTTCGTTAACTATTCGGAGAAAATGGTCAACCTGGAAATGGTTAACATGACCAGGGACAAATTAAAATCATGGACAACTGATAGGATGAAAAAGAACATAACACCACTTCTATGACATTCCTGCCAAAGATGCAAAACTGGAATCTATTCCTGAGGAAAGAGACAAAGCTAAATTGAAGTACATGCTACAAAATAATTGGTCTGTAATCTCAAAAGTGCCAAGGTCATGAAAACCAAGTCTAAGAGGGAGGAACTGTTTCAGACGGAAGGAAATTAAAGATACGGAACAACTAAATGTAACATGTGACTCTGCACTGGATTTTTTTTGTTATAAAGGAACATTATTGGGAGAACTGATGAAAGTGAACTACTTCAGAATACTTAGATGGTAGTACATATTAAATTGTGCTATATAAAGCAATGTTCTCATTTGTAGGAAACACAAGCCAAAGTATTCCAGCTGTAGTGGACACTGCAATACATAGTCAATCCTTAACTGCTTGAAGTCTTCCTGCCAAGAGAGAGCTCTCAATGGTCAGACAACATAGGAGACGGCCTCAGCCGAAGAATGTTGCCTCACCCAAGGCTCTGTACCCTGTCCATATCCAACAACTCGTTTTTACAGAGGCAGAGGTCCTGACCACTCACCCAGCTCAGAACAAAAGTGAAGGGTCATCCCATCTATAGAACTCTCCACAAGGTAAACTGAGGCTTCCACTGAAACTGCATCACTTTACTTGTACCTCTGCCCAAACCTACTTCCTTCCCTTCCCTTTCAAAGATGAGGATTTCAACACCATTCCTTAATAAACTTCCTGCATGCTAATCAGTTTCAGAAATTGCTTCCCACAGAACTCAACCTATGACAGAGATGATACGGCATCATGTCAGCAACTTATTCTCAAGTGACTCGGGGGAAAGAAAAAAAAAAAAAAAGCTTATTGTACCATCCTTGAAACTCTGAGATTTGTTATATAAACATATGGACAGAGATAAATCTGAGATTGTTTCAAAATGTTATTTTTATTTGTTTTTAAAGATTTATTTCTTTGAGAGAGAGACAGCACACGGGTAGGGGAGGGGCAGAGGGAGAAGGAGAAAAGTGGACTCCCACTGTACGTGGAGCCCAATGTGGGGCTTTATCTCATGACCCTAAGTCGTGACCTGAGAAGAAATCAAGAGTCAGATGCTCAAATGACTGAGACACCCAGGCACCCCATGTTTCACAATTTTAAAAGCAATACAAAATTAAGTAGAGAAAACACAGGAAAAAGAACAGAATGAAGGAAATCAAAAGAAAAAAAAAAAACACTAGGGGCATGGTACACTGAAAAATGAAACTAACCAATGGACACTATATTCAAAGTATTCATGGAAAATGAAATAAATGAACAAAAAAGAATGCATCATTACAACATTTATAATCCAAAAGTGATTGTTGTACAACTATAAAATCAGTGTTAATGATTTACATTTTTGTTAATGTCTTTAAGAAGCCCCTTTAAGCAGAAAAAAAAAAGCTAAACTAATTTTTTTTAACTGTAAGATCTTAGTCACAACACATACAAAAATTCTGCCAGCTCACAAAATGTGCCGCATCTTACATTATGACTCTCACATGTTTGCCTGTTTTCTTTCATAATTCAAACATCCACATGACCTCAACTCTTTCCAACCTTAAAAACAAAAACACAAACACCTTCTATAACCTTGCACTCAATGGACCTGCAGCATCAAGATCACTGCAAACTTGTTAGAAATGCAGAGTTCTAGGTCCCACTTCAAATCTACTGAAACAGAACCCGCATTTCAATAAGAGTTCCAGATGATTTTATACGTACATTAAGCTTTGTGAAGCAGGGCTCTATTTTCCACTGTGGGATACTGAAAGCTACAAAGACGTTTGCTCTCACCATTAGGGTGAAACAAAGTCACACTAAATTCAAATGCATGACTTATTTTTAACCTATCAGAGAACTCAAGTCTCGGGGGAAATAAGAGGCAGGCACCTACAAGGACAGAGGAGGCATTAGCACTTGCTTAGTTGCGACAGATGCAACCAGATACCGTAAGAATACAGCTAAAGCAGTAAGGGAACAGGTGATGACAGAGTAAGGGCTGGAAGGACAGTGTGAAGGTACCAGGGTATGCATAAACTGGAAGAATCTGCACATTCTTGCAGGTTTTTTTACCAGAAATCCCACCAGATGAAAAAAATATTA